TAAAATTAAATAGATAATAAAATTGAATATGATATGAAGTAGTTTATTTTTATCAGAAGGGGTTTTGTGGAGATTTAGTATTTTCAAAGTTGAAAGGGTTAGTCAATTGAAGCTAGACCACCAGGGAAAACCTGGAAGCACTGGACGGCTGTTTCGTCTTATTGTCCTATTTTTGTCTAAATATTTATTACAATCAAATCAAACTGAAAGAATAGAATAAATGTTTTACAATCTCAATTGATTGATCACTGGGTGGTTATCGATGTCGTGCATGTCAAGTCCTTCTTAGTGCTGATCGAATGCTATCGATCAAGTTGCAATGTGGCCACTAGTCTAGGTGGCTCGACACTGCGTGCACTATGTTGAGATAAGATGGTAATTGGAGGTGGTCAACAGGAAAACCTGGGCCCGGGTTTCGTGCTACTTGTCACTCGTCAATAAGGTGTACTTGTAATTTTGAGGGAACTGGTGCTACCTGACGGATTCGATCCCGTGTCACTCAGCTTCACGGTCAGAGACGGTACCACTGAGCTATTCGGGCCGCGACTGACCTCCTGTAGGACTGAAATGTTATCGCAATTGATTGATCACTGGGTGGTGATCAATCTCATGAGTGTCAAGTCCTTCTTACAATCCGATTTCTGTTTCAAGAGGTCTGAACATCATTTTATCATAATTTGATGTCGTTTCGTCTAACTACTTCAGTTGACAGTCTTTAAGTACTAGTATTGAACCTATGAAAAAATGCTTAAATGTACCATCAATACTTATGCTTGGAATAAATGATAATGTGAAGAAAAAAAGCTTTTTCAAAATATTGAAATGTATTGTCTCTACCTACTACATCACTGTATTTCGGCAAACTAAACCCAAAATGGTGTTTCACTTAGTTTTACGAAACTTATCAATTACACTTCACACAGAAACAAGAAACTGCCATCAAGGCTAGTTAGTTTCCTTTAAAACGTTTATCTGTATAAATTATATTTTTAGCTATCAACATTTTTTATTTTCTTACTGTGATGTTTCATGACTTTATTTTGTGAAATCGTTTATCGAACTTTAATTTACTTTGACTTATATCAGTAATATCTTTCCAATTCTTAAAATCTGGACGTCCGTTTCATCCTATTATGGGACTCCTCAGCAGTGCGCATCCACGAACCCGCTCTCGCGAGCGAGATTCGAAACTAGGACCTACCAGTTACGAGCCAGAGCCCTTAACCGATAGACCACTGAGCTGACATCCAACGGTGTTAATGTCTAACTTCAACTGATCCACGAAGTTGAGCAACCATTCACCAATTGTCATCAGTGAGTTCCTATCTCACGACAGACGTGGTTTGCACTCCACTGGTCACTGCTTCTCACTAGAGCTCCTGGATGTACTTCCCGAAGTCACTGGTGAGCATATGATTATATTAATTATTAGAAGGGGTTTTTGTGGAGATTTGGTATGTTTCATAGATGAAAGCATGAGTCAATTGAAGCTAGACCACCGAGGAAAACCTGGAAACACTGGACGGCCGTTTCGTCCTATTATGGGACTCCTCAGCAGTGCGCATCAACGAACTCGGGAAGTACATCCAGGAGCTCTAGTGAGAAGCAGTGACCAGTGGAGTGCAAACCACGTCTGTCGTGAGATAGGAACTCACTGATGACAATTGGTGAATGGTTGCTCAACTTCGTGGATCAGTTGAAGTTAGACATTAACACCGTTGGATGTCAGCTCAGTGGTCTATCGGTTAAGGGCTCTGGCTCGTAACTGGTAGGTCCTGGGTTCGAATCTCGCTCGCGAGAGCGGGTTCGCGGATGCACAATTCTTAAAATGTTTACCCATTTATTAGCGACTCCTTTGTGTAAAATTCCTATTTGGTTTCCTTTAAACTATAATCTCATATTTTTTTAATAAAAATAAATACCGATTAAACAGTTTGTATTGTATACACGAATCATTTATATACGTATTAGTTTTCTAAGACAATGAAACTATTAACTATAATTGCACATAGTCAAACCATATTTAACAGAGTGAACTAGTTAATGATTGATTGTATGAACTGAACACTTACCAGTTTACCAATGAGATCATTTTATTTTAAACTTCCCTGTTCTGTTAATCGAATTTAATAACTGTTATTTAGTCTTTTAAACAAGATTAATTGATAAAATAAACAAATATTTAGGATTTTAATTTTTCACTTTTTTAAAACAATTAGTCCCTTTAAATTCAATTGGTATTGTTTGTTTGAATCTTCCCATTGATTTTTGGAACTGTAATTGATCAACGAAAGGTACTGGGTTCGAGTCCCAGAGTGAACATCAACTCTGAAATACAGGTACACCCAGCTGACGAGTCCCAAATAGGACGAAACGCGCATCCTGGATTCCACTACTATCCACTATCCATCTTTGCTTATAATTAGTCCCTTTGACGAAATTTGATAATCCAATGAGAAGACTAAATTTATCAGAATTATGTGATATATTTGCGAAATACATTTCGAACAATCTGATTACATATATACTTATTAAGACATTTTTATATAAAAAGCCTTCAAGGACGTATGCTTTGGTTTGTTGAAGCCTTGGCTATACGGAAATTGAAATCCCCTTCGTTTTCACCTTTCCTTAAATTAATTCATTAATTATAAAGCACAAATATCAAGTAGGGTATGATACTATACATTCGATTGTATTTTCGTATTCTGCATCATAAAATAGATAACATGATGAAATAAACACTGGCAGTAGCAAATTAACTATGCCATTTTTCTTAGCTAAAGATCGTTCTTTTAGTTTGTTATTTCAAAGATAAAATACCATTTAAAGTAACCCATATAACTGAATTTGTAAAATACGTTTTAACACAGAAATCTGATTGTATTACTTTCTTGACTAGATCATATGTAATTAAACATTATTATCTTTTTTGATTTAACGAAGTGATAGAGTCATAGAAGTCATAGAGTTCTCAACCAAGTATGACTATTGCCACTAATATTTTCTTTCCACACCAGCTTAATCATTTCATATGCTCATTTAATCACTCAGTTTGTTAATACTTTTGCCTACTTATATTTCCTGCAGTTTTTTTTTCATGTATTAATTATTATCACTTTTGAATAAGTCTCTCTATGTTGAACTTTACTTTCCCGAAGTACAAACTGACTTCTATAGTTGGACTATGTTGTTGTTATTAGTAATATTTATTTATGGTCACGAATAATGTTTTACGGATCTATCCTGGTTCCAGTTTATAAGGAGCCAAGGAAAAATTTAATTCGTTCAGATAACTTTTATTCAATATAATCTGTTATTATTAATATAATAGAAATCTGTTCTGTTGAGTCAATTCATAACTCAATTATTAGAAGTTCTGTGATTTGAAATGAAATGTTAGCTCTAAAAACGTTGCTTTGCGTTTTTATGACGGATTATGCCGTATAATACATTTATAATACTCAACAGCATAAATGATTACGGAAAACCTAAAACTTAAATTAAACATAACTACTCTGCCACTATATATTATGCCATATTTCCATACATATACTTGAAAGTAATAATTGATGCTCAAAGTCCTACTGACTGTGATAAACATCGTTTATTTCAGAAGCCCAATCAAGTATAAATCTTTTGGAGTGGATTAGTCAATTTCCCTATTGTGTGTGACGTAATGAATACCAAAATAATGGTTTCAATAATTTCTCACTATTTTATCTTTGCTGAACAGGACCAAAGGAGGAGTGTAAAGTATCCCCATATACGTATACTCCAGTTATATAAAATAACCTCAGAGTTTATCTAGTAATAAATCACCAGATTAATGTTGGAGTAGCTAAAAACACTAATATGAATAACCAGATTATTTGAAAATTCAATAGCTTCGTGGTTAAATAAATGGTGAGACAATAACTTATGGACGACCTTTGAATGACACTAAAGTGACCATTAATGTGTCCATCTACTTACTAGTGTTAAATGAGGGTTATAAATCAGTGTGAGGAATTAGGATTGTGATTTATGATTGTGGTTAGACTTAGGAATTAGATTTAAGGCTCTCATCACGAACAGACATCATCTATGATGCCAAAACGCTATTCAGCCAAACGGATGAATGAATTTCGCTCCAAAATCCAAGACCTGTAATCTTAAATCTGATTGGTTCGTTCATAAGTTAGTCTTGTCAAATACATTATGACCGTAAGGTTCGCCAATAATTCATCTCCTGTCTAGTTGAGTCTGGATGGCTAATATACACTAGCTGAAACAGTAGAAAGTTTAGAACCCATTCAGATCAGTCAGTTTTGTTATGTCTGTCGTTTAGTGGAGAAAATTTTGCACATTGCGATTCCGAAACATCGACTGGTAACAATGTTATTAATAGTAAGCAAAGATGGATAGTGACTAGCAGTGGAATCCAGGATGCGCGTTTCATCCTATTTGGGACTTGTCAGCTGGATGTACTTGCATCTCAGAGTTAATGTTCACTCTGAGACTTGAACTCAGTACAGGTCGCTTCAAACGCCATCACGTTATCCACTCAGCTACTGAGTCCTGATAGCCACTTCCATCTTTGCTTATAATGCTTGTGAATTAAGGTTATATCGAGGCAATACGCACAATATGAACATAAGCCAATAAGAGTCTGATCAATTGCGGTCCTAAACATCAATGAGAAGATTCAAACAAACAATACCAAGTGAATTTAATGTTAGTAATAGTTAAGATAAAAACAAGTATAATCATAGACATCAATAAACACAAGAACTCTAATATTCAGTTAAGATTATGCTTGAGAAACTTTTCTGAACTTAAAAATCTATAACTTTAATTAAACACATCCAAGTATTTCTCAATTATTTTTCGGTAAGTCCACATCCTTTCTTTACGATAAACTCCATTTGCGTCTCTTATTATGAGGTTTTCATTACCGATATATTTTCATTTATAATATTTAAATATCTAATGCATTATTATTTTTCTGTTCTGTACAGAGTCAAATACACTCAGATTTTGGATATTACTTTAATGATGGAAAAAGAAAAATTGGTAAGTTACTGGGTTGTATTTATAAATTACAAATAACAATTTGAATGAATACATTTCTAGGTTCCTCTTACATATTTTTTTTTAATTATGTTTTACAGAAAGCTTTCGTAGACTTCAGTCTAAGACTTATGAAAAATAATCGAATGGTATTAGATATATCCGAAACCCTCAGAAACTAGTAATAATGGAAATTAATGTCAGATATCTTTGTTCCCAATATTTAAATAAGCAAATTATTAAATAAATATAGTTACATTATACGATTCTGAGATTCTGTCATATAAAGATAACACAAAATCTGACAAAACTTGTGAGATGAAATTTACAGCAAAATACATATTTCACGGCTATAGTTCCAGAACAAATTACTTAATATTGTTATAATTCATAGCACTGACATATCAGAGGGAACAGATCTAGACTAGTAGTTGTAAATTCTAAAACAGTAAGTAAATAAACATAACCGAAGATTTTAGTTTCATATGGCTTAGAAATTTCATAACTTCGGAATCATTGAACACAAATGTTATGTTGTTTATAAGCCATATATGCTTATTCGTACAAACAGAAAACATTATTTGTATAATTTCAAGCCATTTCAAACAATGATTACCAGTTTTTTTTATATCTTTCCAAAAATTTTCATTAAACAGTTGCACTAGCTTCGTTTAATTCTAACGACATTCAATGAATTCATTAAAGTGAAGCATGGTCGTTTATTCAAATGTTGAAAACATATTGCTTAAACAGTTCTTAACATTATTTTATATCGTACCTACAAGACGAATTATCGCGTTTATTTCACTGAGATAAATCATCTGTACACACATTCGGATTATGAGTGTGTTATAACTTGTGGCCGAGTGGATGCCCTGTTAACGTATGACGTGATAAGACCGTCCAACAGAGAGCTGCGAATTATCGATTGGAACAGTGGCACACGAAAACTGTACGAGCAGTCTAGAGTACGTATCGGTCCTGCTTTCTGACTAACCCAGCCAGTTAAGTCTAGAACAGCCTCTGAGGTATGAATCATTATATTCCAAACATACTGAGTTTATATACCAAATAGACTGACCACATCGTACCATAAAAATAACATGTGTATAAGATTTAGCTAAATGTCGCTGTGAATAGGGGAGATAGTAAATAATAGACTAGGGATAACTCAAGAATGGTAAATCGTATAATGATAGTCTATAGGTCAAAATCAAGCTTATAATAAGAGGAACACGAATATGAATAGTTTAGTTATTTAGCAATTATGCGATAAAAAATATATGCATAATATTGGTCAATAAATAGATCCCAAAGTTACCATTCATTATTCTTATCAGGATATAACAGAGTGATTACATTTGTCAAAATAGAGATACCCTTTTATTCACAATTGATTGATCACTGGGTGGTGATCAATCTCATGCGTGTCAGGTCCTTCTTAGTGCTGATCGAATGATATCGATCGAGTTGCAATGTGACCACCAGTCTAGGTGGCTCGACACTGCTTGCACTATGTATATTGAGGTAAGGTGGTGGTTGGAGGTGGTCAACAGGAAACCCTGAAGCTGAGTGACGCGGGATCGAATCCGCCAGGGAGCATCAGTTCCCTCTGGATTACAGGTACACCTTGCTGACGAGTGCCAAGTGGCACGAAACCCGGGTCCAGGGTTTCCTGTTGACCACCTCCAACCACCACCTTACCCTTTTATTCGATATTATGAAATATTACGACAATTATTTCATAAAATGATTTTATAGAAGTTTCGTATAGCTGAAATGTAATTCTTGTCTTTATTCGATACCGACCATGTACTTATTGGTGACTAGTTTTGGTAAGCATTATTAAAACGGTAATAGGAAATCATGACCACTTGAGTTAATGACGTCAGAAATAGAATGATAAGTTACAAAAAGTTCTCGTTAGGTATTTTGCAGTATCCACAAAACTAACTACAGTATTAAAAAATATAGGTTATTATTAATACTATTATATGATAATATTAGATTCTAGGATATATCAATTACAAATGCTTGGAATTCGATGACTATACAAGATTTTGATTTGAGTTTTAAAATATAACTTTCATTTATTATTAAGATTCAAATTCCTAAGTGGATTCAGTGAAATAGAGTAATTGTCTTTCAACTAGTCAACTATAAATGCTGATATACTTTTTATTTCAGAGATAAGATAATTTGAATATAATCATTCGTCATTTTCCTAATTTTCAGAATAGATTATAGTTTGACAAAACTAATATCATATTTCATATAGTTGAGATCATGAGTCAATTGAAGCTAGACCACCATGGAAAACCTGGAAGCACTGGACAGCCGTTTCGTCCTATAAGGCACTCCTGAGCAATGCGCATCCACTATCCCGCCTCGCGAGATTCCAACCCAGGATCTATTAGTCTCGCGCGCGGGCACTTAACCGATGGACCAATGAGCCAGCATCCAACGGTGTTAATGTCTAACTTCAACCAATCCAATTGACTCATAATCTCAACTACATAAAATTACTAAAATCTCCAGAAAACCCCCTTCTGAAAGCTAATATCACTTAATCTATACTTTATGCTTATATATTTTTCATCAATTATGTTACATAAAAGTTTTTGTATGCAAAAGTATTGACTTCAAAATTACATTGAATGAATGATCATATGTTTCATTGTATGTCATATTTCCCTTCCAAGATTATGTTTTAGTTTGGGACGAACCAGTTAATGAAAATATAATCAATAAAGTGAAAAAGATCAATAGTATTTATCGAAAAACATTTGAAGATAATTTACAAACAATTGGAGTACAAATTGAGAAAGTACGTTCAGTTGTTAGTTATATCAATGGGTAAAATTTTAAACTAACAATTGATTTCTTCGTTATCAACTGAACGTTTTCTTTTTCTAGTCTAATTTAATGCTTAAAATGTATTCAGTCAAATTTCCCTACTCTAGATAAAAATGGAAGTAAGATATCTGCCCTAAAATTTAATTATTAAGGGGAATAATTTGGAACTTACGACCTGCTTAATAATAATACTTTGATACAAGGAATTTTCTCTTCAATAAATCAATGCTCAAACAATGAGACGTGATGTTTATATAAAAGGTCAGGAAATAGATTTTAATTTCATTAATACTCCAATCAATAAGTAACCGTCATGTTTAATTCTTGTTTTAAATGTAACTTTTCTGGCGGTTATATAGATTGAACAAAGAGAACCGGTTAATCACCATAAATAATTCTTTTTTTTAAGAGTTGAACACCACTTTTCATCAATTGTTGAACTCGAAACTACAATTAAGCCTTTAGAGAAATGCACAAATTTTGGTCAGATTACTCGCTTATTATTGAGTTCGTTCGACAAAGGGAGAAAACATTCCAGTTGAAATTAATATTGCAGTCTAATCCAACGAATTTTAATCCAGTAATTGAATATCATAATCAGCAGTTGTAAAATGGTAATCTACTCACGTAACTCTACGGTAGTACCAACTGATACTAAGCTATATTTAGAATTTAGATACTAATGTAGGTCGTGCAACATGCATCGCTCAAGTTAATTTCCAGCAATATATCCATAGGTTCCATGTAAATGATGAAAATTGTGATTAGTGGTCCTCATTATCTCAAACAATATTATTTTCTGTGACAGTGCAGATAAGTCGACGGAAAAGTGTCCTCAGTAAATTTGCTAGATAAAAATTAACTAATATCGTAATGAGTCCCGAAACAAAATCCAAGTAGCTATTTATTTAACATAATAGTGTACACAAATCAACTTGACCCTTTGAATTGCATAACATCTCGTTGACTAAATAGAGCGAACTATCCATCTAATACCAAATATTTAATTTGGACAATTAAAAAACATGTTTAAACAGCAATTCCGAAGTTGTTGAAATAGTTCGATTTATAATGGTAGCGTTTTTGAACCCATTTGATGATAAACTGTCCAAGAAAAACTCAGTATAGTACTGTAAAATCAAGAGTTACGCTACAGAAATCACAAGTACTGAAAAATGAATTCGAACGATAACATTCAGCAGTTGATTAAAATCTCGAAATTTCAATAAATATATAAATTATCAAGTAATTTCTAAGAAAAAACTCTAATAAACACAAGAGGTGGATCATAGGTAGTCGAATGTGCTGTGTTTACGTATCATTGTTTAATTATTTATGAATTTAAACTATTTCAAAGATGAATCTTACAAGTGTATTGTTACTTACTTACTTACTTACGCCTGTTACCCCTCGTGGAGGAGCATAGGCCGCTCACCAGCATTCTCCATCCAACTCTGTCCTGAGCCTTCCTTTCCAGTTCTTTCCAGTTGCTATTCATCCTTTTCATATCGGCTTCTATTTCCCGGCGTAGTGTGTTCTTTGGCCTTCCTCTTTTCCGCTTCCCTTCAGGATTCCAAGTTAGGGATTGAGTCGTGATGCACATTGGTGATTTCCTTAATGTATGTCCTATCCACTTCCAACGTCTTTTCCTTATTTCCTCTTCAGCTGGAAGCTGGTTTGTCCTCTCCCATAAAACGCTGTTGCTGATAGTATCCGGCCAATGGATGTTGAGTATTTTGCGTAGACAACTGTTTATAAATACTTGTACCTTCCTGATGATGGCCGTAGTAGTTCTCCACGTTTCAGCTCCATACAGTAGGACTGTCTTGACGTTCGTATTAAAGATTCTGATATTGAAATTGGTTGAGAGTTGTTTTGAGTTCCATATGTTCTTCAATTGTAAAAATGCTGCCCTTGCTTTGCCAATCCTCGCCTTTACATCTGCATCCGATCCTCCTTGTTTATCAACGATGCTCCCCAGGTACTTGAATGTTTCCACCTCTTCCAGAGTTTCGCCATCAAGTGTGATTAGGTTGGTGTTCTCCGTGTTGCATTTGAGAATCATGCTTTTTCCTTTGTGAATGTGGAGGCCTATCGATGCGGAGGCTGCTGCTACATTTGCTGTCTTCATCTGCATTTGGTCGTGTGTATGAGAGAGGAGGGCTAGGTCATCTGCGAAGTCCAAATCATCTAATTGATTCTGAGAAGTCCATTGTATTCCGTATTTCCCTTCGGATGTCGAATTCGTCATAATCCAGTCAATCACTAGAAGGAAGAGAAATGGGGAGAGTAGACAGCCTTGTCTGACTCCGGTCCTTACTGGAAATGCATCTGTCAGCTGTCCTCCATGCACCACTTTGCACTGTAATCCATCGTATGAGTTTTGGATAATGTTGACGATCTTCTGAGGAACTCCATAGTGTCGAAGAAGTTTCCACAATGTTCTCCTATCCACGCTGTCAAACGCCTTCTCATAGTCGATGAAGTTGACGTATAGTGATGAGTTCCACTCAACTGATTGTTCAACGATGATCCGTAGTGTCGCAATCTGGTCTGTGCACGACCGATCCTTACGGAATCCAGCCAGATGATCCCTTAGTTCGGCGTCTATACTGCGTCTTTCATCCGATTCAGCAGCACTCTGTTGAAAACTTTTCCTGGTACTGATAACAAACTGATGCCTCTGTATTTCTCACATTTGCTCAGATCTCCTTTCTTTGGTATCTTGATGAGATATCCTTCTTTCCAGTCCGTTGGCACTTGTTCCTCTTCCCAAATCTTTTTGAATAGAAGGTGAAGCATGTTTGCAGTTATTTCAATGTCTGACTTCAGTGCTTCTGCTGGTATATTGTCAGGTCCTGCCGCCTTCCCACTTTTGATTTGTCTGATGGCCATCTTGACTTCTTCGATCGTTGGTGGAGTGACATCTATTGGAAGGTCAGTGTGGGCTGCTTCGATGTTCGGTGGATTCGATGGGGCTGGTCTATTCAGCAGTTCCTCAAAGTATTCTGCCCATCTTTTCCTCTGTTCCTGAATCTCAGTGATTGTCTTTCCTTCTTTGTCTTTGACTGGTCTCTCTGGTTTGCTATATCTCCCTGCCAATTTCTTCGTTGTATCATATAGTTGTTTCATATTCCATTCTCTTGCAGCTTTTTCCGCCGCCGTTGCTAGTTCTCCCATGTATTTCTGCTTGTCGGCTTTAATGCTTTTCTTCACTTCTCTGTTTGCTTCTGCGTAGTCTGCTTGTGCTTTGACTTTCTCTGCTCGTGTTCGGCTGTTGTTAATTGCTAGTTTCTTGTTCTTCCTTTCTTGAAGTTTGTCCAGGGTCCCCATAGAGATCCATTCCTTGTGATGGTGCTTCTTAGGATCAAGAACCTCCTGACACGTTGAAGTTAGTGCTTCTTTTATCCCTTTCCAGTTGTCCTCCAAAGTAGTTTCTTGTTCTTTCAGTAGATCCTGTAGAGCTTGGAACCTGTTGTTGAGAGTTATCTTGAACTCATGGAGTTTGTCAGTATCTCGAAGGAAGGCTGTATTAAACCTTTGTAGTGCTGTTTGTCCAGTTGTCCAGTCTTTCTTAAGCTTCAGTCTCATCTTGGCCACAACCAGGTGGTGATCTGAAGCTATGTCAGCTCCTCTCCGGGTTCTCACATCTTCCATTGATCTTCGGAATTTTTTGTTGATACAGATGTGATCAATCTGGTTCTCTGTGGTGTGGTCCGGTGAGATCCATGTAGCTGTGTGTATGCGTTTGTGTGGGAATATTGTGCCGCCTATAACCAATTTGTTGAAAGCACATAGGTTTGCAAGTCTCTCCCCATTTTCATTTCTCTCTCCTAGTCCATGTCGTCCAATTACATCTTCATATCCTGTGTTGTCCACTCCAACTTTAGCATTTAGATCTCCCATAAGGATGGTGAGGTCCTTTCGTGAGCACTTTGCTATAATTGATTGCAGCCTTTCATAGAACTGATCTTTATCATCGTCGTTGCTATCATTGGTGGGTGCATAACATTGGATAACATTCATTGTGATCCCTTGCTTCTTTGTTCTGAATGATGCTTTGATTATCCTGGGTCCATGAGATTCCCATCCCACAAGTGCATTTCGTGCTTCTCTGGACAGCATTAGAGCAACTCCCTGAGTGTGTGGCGCATTTTCCCCTTCGTGACCGGAGTACAGCAGCATCTCTCCTGTACCTAGCCTTTGTTGTCCAGTTTGTGTCCAATGGGTTTCGCTGATTCCGAGTACTGCCAAGTTGTATCTCCTCATTTCCATTGCTATTTGGCTGGTCTTTCCTGTTTCCCACATTGTCCGGACGTTCCATGTACCTATAAAGAGTGTTGCTCTGGTTGTTAGAAGGTGCATCGGTCTCGTGACTTCCGAAGAATTTCGGCTTTCATCATGAGACGTCATTATTCCTTCAACTCCCAGGGCAGAGTTTAAATGGTTTGGATTATTTTTTCTGGTTAGCGTTTTTTTAGCGAGTTAGCTTTTCTACGGGATGGGGTCGCTAACCCCATGCCCAACCCTCCTCCTTTACCCGGGCTTGGGACCGGCAGTAACTCTAGAAGAGCTACAGGCGGAGTTACAAGTGTATTGTAGGGTTCCATAAAAAAATAGAATAAATGTTCCGTTAAAAATTCTTTAAAACTTTGCCGTATTGTATTTCTGCAATAATTCCATGTTTCAAAACCACCATTGTGAACTTTTATTTAATTGATTTATACACAAAAACTTAGTGAGAGAAATGTAACTATGTTAGAAGATTCACTTAGTATTGTTTATTTGAATCTTCCCATTGATGTTTAGGACTGCAACTAGCCAGTCTGTTATTGGTATATGTGCATACTGTGCGTATTGCCTCAATATAGCCTTAATTCACAAGCATTATAAGCAAAGATGGATAGTGGCTAGCAGTGGAATCAAGGACGCTCGTTTCGTTCTATTCACGACCCGTCAAACTTCACCCCA